GGATAGGACAAGAAGGGTTAAACTGCAGCTAGGGAAATTTAGTTTAGACATTAGGGAAATCTTTCTAGCTGTCAAGATAGTTCAGTACTGAAATCAATTGCCAAGGGAGAGTGGAATCTCAATCACAGGAGGGTTTTAAGAACAGGCTAGCTAATTAACTGTCAGGCATGGCTTAGGTATAATTGCTCCTCCTGGAGCAGAGGGCTGAGCTACCTGACCTCCTGAGGCTCCAACCAGCTTTACCTGCACTGATCATAGGATCTCCAGAGTATCAGAATAATCTATGTCCCTCATAAATTATATATAGACAGAATATTAAAAAAAAACCCCAACAAACAACCTTAAAAGTTAATTACAGACACTTAAGACATCTAATGCTATGTTGCTGCTATCTTAATAATTACAGAATTAAATCTGTAATATTACCTCAGTAATAATAATAACAACATACTATCGTTTTAATTTTATATAGCTATGGATAGCTGAGTCTTACACAGTAATGTATGGCACAGACTTATTTCTATATTCCATACAATTACAGTAGTCAAACCTTTCATTCACAATATATCATGACTGTATTTTACTAGAAAGTCTAGCAGGACCTTTGTGTTGTACATGCACATTGTCCATGTGTGCATATATCACTGCATGAAAGCATAGAGGGAAAAAAGATGGTGGAAGACAGTTCTCCGTAACACTCCATTCTGCTAATCACACATAAAAAAGTCTAGCAATAACATGGTATCTCAGAGAGATAAATCCTGACCCAAGCGCTTCTGAAGAGCTTCAGCTTTGTTTCCAAGTGGCAGATTGAAAGAAATATCCTTTCAGGATGCTTCTTCCACTAGTGCGTTATTCAGCATAAATGAAAAATTCAAATTCATGCAATTGAGACTAATTTGACATGATCCCTTTCTCTACTCCATCTGTAATTAGCATCGCTGTCATGCTGCTACATTCCACTGTTCTTTTTTTTTGTTACAGAAAACTGTTCAAATTTTTATTTCTTACATTCCTCATAGCTAAAGAAGCAAAAAGAAATTAGCTCCTGTACTTTAGTAAACCCCATTCTCTTTGTTATTTGGGACTGCAAATGAAAAACAAGTTAATAAAACTAGTTTTAAAAAAATTATTAAATTGAAAGATGTAAAAAAGTGTCCATTTTTCTGTGAGAATCTGGAAAATATTTCTAAGAATTCTGCACAGAACTCTGAGGTTTATTCTATGAGTGCAGGGGGCTATATGAGTTTGACAAAACACTGAAAGTGTTGGGAAAACTGCCTCAACTCAGTTTATAATTATAAAACATTCAATATAAGCAATAAAGTTACATGAAAATCTGTTATACAGCTGGAAATAATGGAGTGAACTGCAACCTTATGCCATGATACAGGCCATAGTGCAGCACTTGCAGTATTTTCACTGAAAACAGTAAAGTCCTTCAGTCCTGTCTAGAAAACTACTTCCACTAATGAAAGAAAACTCACTTTATTGAGAGATTATGGAGCCAACCCCTCAGGAGGACTGAGACACTTTGCTAAACCCCTGGATTACGAGTGCTACAGATCCAGTCAAACATCTACAGCCGTTCTCTGCAATCACCCCGTACGCATTACCACCGTGTGGTAAGTCCCCATTTATCTCCATGACCACATACCACGGCCATCAGGGAAAGACACGCAAATGGTAGTACAGGGCTAATTAAAGCAGATTTATAGGAAGGTGAATTTTGCATATAATAAAAAGTTTCTTTGAGTGTACACATATAATTATGTTATTCTTTGTATCTGTGTTAAAGGAGTTCACCACCAGCAGCACTCCAGTCAGTAGGCAATGCTGTTGTACTCAAATACGGAAACATTTAGGAGTGACGTTACACACACGTGTAGATAAGCAGTATCTAGATCTCAGGAAGCCCGAGTGGGATCGTGGAGAGACACATTCCAGCACTTAAACAAACACTACAGTAGCAGGGACAAATATGCTGATCTTCCCCCTTTATGATAGCCAGTTTTGTTGACTGTCCCCACTGGAAAAGCTTTGCTTGCGAGGGTGAAGCTTCACCTCATGTCAAGTCTCAGTATGCGACTACACCCAGTGCCACCCAGGAAAGCAGAGTGGAAGGAAGTCAGGTCCCTGCTCTGTCCAGTCTCCTGTACAGTGGGGAGAGCCAGACCTCCCCAAGAGGTTATGCAGAGATCCAGAGCAAGATTTCATTAAGTTCCGAATTGCTTTTTTGAAATGATCCTCTGGAAGCACCTCCTCCTGTACATTATACAGGCTCTACAGACAACACAGACCCACAATTTAACGTAAACAAAGTTATGTAGCAGGAATGCCTTTCTACCCAGAGAATCCTTAAGTGCACAAAGAAGTTATCTAGCTTTCACATGCCTCAAGTTTTATCACAGAATCATCTAGGTTGAAAAAGACCTTGTAGATCATCCAGTCCAACCGTTAACCTAACATTGGCAGTTCTCAACTCCCCCAGATCCCTCAGCGCTGGCTCAGCCCGACTCTTCAGCCCCTCCAGGGATGGGGACTCCCCCCTGCCCTGGGCAGCCCATCCCAACGCCCAACAGCCCCTTCTGCACAGAAATCCTTCCTCAGAGCCAGCCTGACCCTGCCCTGGGCAGCTTGAGGCCATTCCCTCGGGGCCTGGCGCTGGGGCCTTGGCTCCAGAGACTCATCCCCCCTCTCTGCCCCCTCCTGTCAGGGAGTTGCAGAGGGCCAGGAGGTCTCCCCTCAGCCTCCTCTTCTCCAGACTGAACCCCCCCAGTTCCCCCAGCCGCTCCCCAGCAGACCTGTGCTCCAGACCCTGCCCCAGCTCCGTTGCCCTTCTCTGGCCACGCTCGAGTCACTCAATGGCCTTTTTGGGGTGAGGGGCCCAGAACTGAACCCAGGAATCGAGGGGCGGCCTCCCCAGTGCCGAGCCCAGGGCTCAGATCCCTTCCCTGTCCCTGCTGGCCACACTATTTATATATGCTTCTTGTAATACCATTACTTCTCTGCAGTTACTCTTTCATTTCTCACATTATATGCCATATTGCATATTAACAGTTCATTTTTGTGTAGTTTCCATTTAGTCCTTTAATATTACAGTCATAGTGCTGGTTCCAAAATGTTTGGGGTTTTTTCACTAGTTTTCAATTGGAAAATACTGGTTAGTAATTTTTTGCATTTTAAAATAAAATGAAGCACAGAGTAACACATCAACACATACACACTGTAAAATATTTGAACTAGGTATTGAAACTTGTAGAAAAAAATACTTGTAATATTAAGTTATAATCAAGCCTGGGAATTCAATAAAGTAACAAGGGAAAACTGGAATCAAATTTAGTTAAATCCCAAATCACTGTAATTTTTACTACATGCACTGCTAATCAGCGGCTGGCTCTTTCTTGTGTTCCTTTTCTATTTGAGACTCTGGGTACCAAATCAGAATATTTGACAAGCTCTGGGTGTTGTTTTCCTTTTTATTGTATCACTCTGTTCTTTATTTTCAATGTTAAAACTACCCAAATTTTTTCTTGCATTATTACAACAGCAATTCTTCCGAAGGCCACCCATTCCTCAGTGAATATCGAACATGAAACAGGCTGGAGTGCAGCATTTGTCAGTGAAATCCCCATAGCGTTTTATTTATCTGAGAAAGCTTTTTTTGGTAAATATTTCAAAGAGTAATAGATGAAGACATCTCGAATGTGGACTCCTTATGCCGTAAACAAGACTTTTTCTTTTATTTCAAAGCAAATATTCATTTTATGAATTAAATAAAGTACCTTTAAAAGTTGCTTTTCTTTTCTAGGATGTTTAAAAAAAATGTAATTAGTTATAAATTTAACTTAAAAGTTGCTGCTAAAACAGCAGTATCAATTAAATATGTAGCTAGCAGCTTCCATGTCCACATTTTGAAGTACAGTGACTGCCCATTAACATATAATCATTTCAGAACTTCCGCAGTATTCCAAACAAGGAAGATATAAAACCACTTCTTTGGAGTTGCAGGCTTCGAAGAACACAACTGAAACATTTCACATTGTACACCACTACTACATAATGGACATGATAAAGGGAACATGGGTGTTCACTACTTTATTAATGAAGGAAAAACCAACTATCCAGTTGTTAAACCTAAGACAGCATTTATTAGCTTGGTTTTGTCTGCTTCTATAGGAAACAGAGAAGTACTACCACTGTACAGTATGAACATGGGGTACTTTATCTCAGGCTATGCTATATTACCTCTGTGGGTCCTGTCCGTGATAAACGTTTGCCAGTTTAAGAGTGAGAGACCATAAAAACTCATTCTCTTACTCTGTTTTTTAAGCTTCAGTTATATTTATCTAAGTGCTACAACAGCAAGTCACTAGAAAAAGAGAACTCCAGACAGGAGAAATACCATTTATTCTGGCTCTTAGTGACCATAAGGATGGATGCAATGATCTGGATTAAACAAGAATCACTCTCTTCATTGAGACATTGTACGTAACTGTACAGCCTCTGTGGACTTTTATTTTCTTGGCTCTCTTAGATGTGACTAGGTTAAACATGACAGAAAAAAACACCCTTCAAAAGGCCATTATGACAGCTTCCCTTAACCAGGAACTACTGGAAGTACTTACAGGAAATTCTGTTCTTACAACACAGCACATGCAATCTTATACTAAATGGCACTCAGTCAAAATCACTGAGCAACTTCTAAAACTTGGTAAATGCAGTCTTTTAGTTTCATTAGTTAAACATAATCTATTTGAGCAACTTTGATGAAAGCTTTCTCGACTAATAGAATGGTACGTCTTCAAGTGCTACAGTTTATGACTTTTTAAAAAATTGCAACAATCTAGATAATCTGTCAATCCATTTGATTTTCTGTAAAGAAACACTATTAAATTTACTAAAATTAAATTTCTTTTAGGTAAGATATATCTGAGAAAAACAAACAGAAATTATTTCTGACTCACTTTTAATGCGTGCTTTCTAGAATCCAATATTCTGACTTGTGAATTCAACTCTGAGGGTTAAATAAAAAAAACATAGGAGTAAGAATCAGCAAAGTTTGAGCATCCTGAACTCACCCCAACCTCTTTATAATCTAGAACTGAAAGTATTTCTGGCAATAATTTTAAGAATTAGCAAGAGAGCTGTATCATTATAATAAACTGCCAGATTGCTGAACTGAAACCTATAAAATGGATAAAATGGATAAAATGGATCATGAAGAGCCTCTTGTCCCATCATCCTTCTTTGACTGGAGTCTATCTTTTGTTTATTCCAAATGTCTCTTGCTCATAAGACATTTTTTATTTTTGCCTTTAATGGATCTTTATTAAATGTAGTCAGGCGTCATCAATCTATGGCACTATGTCTCCTGCAGGAATCCACCTGTCCTGCTGAGCATTCCTCTGTCAATTAAGCCTTGAGCAAGTCCACAATGATGTTTCTTATCAAGTTCACAACCCCTCTATCCAACATATGCTCTTTTAACTCATACCCATGGAATGGTATTTTTTGTCATACCAGGTTACTGAGTAGATCTTTACCTCCTCCTGGATTTGCAACCTTTGAAGCCTTGCCATGTAGTTACGGGCTCTAAGTGCTGGCATGATTACTATGTGTTCTCTCATCTCCATTTAGCTCTACAAATATTTATTTCCCTATTCTTGCTGTGCCACCAAGGCTATGCACAGCCTATTAGCATTTCCTTTAAGAGAAAACATGAAGCTCAGTGTCTAGTTTGTTAAACCAGATTAAGTACTAAACAAACACACACTAAAGAGCAATATTTCACTAGTGCCTAAAATAATTCTCCCTGAGTGAAGAAGACTGCAGCATGGGGCTGCAGTACATTCACTGCCTCTGCCCTAGCTTATCTGCCTGAAGTCAAAGGCTGAAGACTTACATCAAAATGTAATTAGCATTTTACAGAGCTCTCTGTGAAGAAAATATGAATAAAAATAATAAACAGATCAATGGACTGAACTTAGACATGATGAAACAGTCTTTGACATAACTGCTTCTCGACAGTTGATAGACCAGCAGTTGCTGTAGTTGCAGGATGTTTTTTTAAAATACAGAAAACAGATTAATTATATTAAATCAGTGGAGTTGGAAAAGAATTTTCTAAAGTATGTTATAAAGTTAGCAATTAAGATAACTTTCTGTTAGTTTCTGTTATAGAATCAAAACCAAAAAAGAGTTTTGATTCCTTAAATCTGTGTTACAAAGTCCCTGCCTTCCCCACTCATTCCAGCTCTTAATCTGCAGTTCAGTGCGCTCCAACTGTGCCGAAATAATTTATTATAGTCATGTGTTATAAATCAGATAACGAATAACTAAATTCATGAGAGCAGATGCCATACTCTGCACAAACTGGTAGATGGGTAAGTCTAAACTAAATGTATTAAGGTAACTATATGAGAGCTGGTCAATGCAAAGCATTGTATCTTCCATTTTATAATACTGTGAATCAGACATAACATACTCTATAAGTATCAGACAAGCCAGGAATATCCCTGTCCCCCAAACTGCAAACCGTACTAGTGAGATGTATATAGAAAACAATAAATGGACAGGTAGTAGTGTTGTACATTGCTCTGAGCTGAGCTTACAGCTGATGCAAAAGTCAATCTACAAATTATAAAGCCAAATTATCAACTTTAGAACATATTCTCTGCATAATGGATTTTTTATATAAGGAACAGCCCTGAAAATTTTATAAATCAATATTTATTTGATTTATATAGATCACATCAGGGTGATATATAAGTACAGCTCAACATAAACTGAATGGTTATGACTGCAAATGGGTGTAAGATCCACTTAAAACCATTTAACAGATATTCAGTCCAGAAAGGTTGGTAGAATGTGCCTCTAACCTAACTGCAATGGGTTGAAAAATGCTCTCCAAATCCCTCTTGGGAGAACAGGCAAGATCACAGGCATTGTCAGGTCCCAAGGCCCTGACATAACAAGTTTTTCAGATGAAATTTCCAGATGCTCCTAGGCAACTGACCATTCCCCAGACTACAGAGCAAGGGAAAACCCCAAGTGGTCCTTGCCAAAAATGATGTGAGAGACACAGCTGTGAGTGTAAAAAACCAGTTATTTTGTGGAGACAGACCTATGGGGATTTTTGTACCAGCAAGGCTACTTAGTACACATTAGAATATTGTTTCAGATGTAGCTAAGATCAGAAAAGCCTCAGTTACTGCCAACTACGGTTTTCAGTGTGGAAAGTTACTAATTGCACTCCATGTCCTATGAAATAGCAATCTACATCCTGCCAGTTAAGGAGAAGATATCAAACCAGTTTCAAATTCACATCAAAAAGATTTTTAAAATCACATTGGGTTTTTTAACATCGCTTTTTACATTTGATCAAGCACAGGAAAACCACCCTTATTTCTAAACATTTTGTGGGATGTCTTCCCTACCTTTGGCAAATGAGTTCTTCTTTGTTTCCTTCTTCTTCTAGTGTTGCATCTCCTTCCACTTCTGCTTTGCCTGCTTCACCCACTCTAACTGTAATTGAAGAAATAATTTTATTACTGTCAGTAATTGATTGCCATACATATTTGCATTCAGATTTAACTCCTTAGCCATATTATAAGTTTGGATCTCCAATTTTAGACCAAGAACATTTGAACTCTTGGCCCATTCAGTCTAGCCCATAATCTGTGAAATCTTCTGATTCCCAACCCGTAGGGTATGGTAGCAAAGGCACACAGCGCTACTGATACATATTTCACAATTCTTCAGACTGTTCTCTCTCTGAATTAATGCTCTTCATGTGACGTAATTCTGTGTGACCACCTTCGATTTCAGTGTGAACAACCAAGATGAAAATCTACATTTAAGAGCTTTCATTCAACCTGGATGTACCCTTATCGCTCAAATCTATGGTTATTTCACAGCATTGGATACCAAGCCCGTTTACACTCACACCATAAACATCAGCAGTCACTGGTGTTTGAAAGCACTGATAAAATACTTCAGTGATATCTGTCCTGCTTCTGGAAAGCTGGGGTTTTTTTGTTTTCTTCATCTAAACAGCATGCATTCTTTAAGCTGGATGTGCTCTGCAAGTGCTACACAACTGTGGCGAGTTGACCTTGGCCAACTGGCCAGCTGTCAACAGGAGAGGGGGACAAAATTAGCTTCTGCGTCGAGTTAAAGACATGCAGATCACTTACCAATTACTATCACAGGCAGAAATGACTTGACTTGGTGGAAATTAATTTATTTCCACTAAACTGAGAAACAAACCCACTTTATTCCCCTCCTGCCCCCACCTTTCCCAGGCTCAACTTCACCTCTCCATTCCTGACGGCCCTCCCCACCCAAGCTGCGGGGCATGGGGAATGGGGGTTATGCTCAGTCCACAACAGGCCCGTGAGATCTCCCATTCTTTCCTCCCCACACCTCTCCCTGCCCTACTGGGGTCTCCCCACAGGTCACAGGGGAGTCTCTGTTTGGGTGCCTGGAGCACCTCCTCTTCCCCCCCTCGGTGCTCGCAGGGCTGTTCCTCACTCATTTCTTTCATCATTCCTCTGTGGTGTATTTTTCCCCTTTCTTAAATCTTTCCTCAGAGGCACCACCAGTGGGGTTGAGGGGCTGCCTGAGGCAGCCCCTGCCTCTCCTCACAGAGACCCTTCAGCTGCTAGCCCCTGATCATGGGCATCTACATTATTTTTGCAATACTACATTATTTTTAAAAGTTCTGTATATATTCCACAGATCTAGGAAGCATTTAAAATAGGAGATACAAAGAAAATTTAAATAGGAGGGGTTTGATGTAATGAAGCACTCGGCAACTCCCATAAACCTTGTACAGGACCAAGATCCTGCCAGTGATTGTTGCTCAGTTCTTCCTTAGACTGAAATGACAAATGAAAACACACCACTATTTATCTCAGTTCATTTACTAATAGCATTAAAGGACAATCCACAACTCATTTGAGAAAGGCTGTAGGTATGCTGCCAGGGAAAGCTACAGTCCCGTTGAATGCCTTTGTCACGGTAAATGCCATTACCAGGAGCACTTAAGAGAAAAGTCAGACTGTATTTGAAAAAAATGTAGTAACCACACCTCAGATACATTTTTAAGAGCTTTTTACTTTTAACTAGAACCCTTTTGTCAATAAAACAAAACCAACTTGCTGCTTTTTGTATAGCTTCATGTATTTCCTCATTATTTATTTCACAGGTGCCTCTAAGCATAAAACCTGTTGTATTTGCCTTAAAAATCATGATTTGAGACTTGCTATTTCCAACCACTAGTGATTTTAACGTTACTTGTTGGATTAGCACTATAATCTGTTCCCTATACCTATTACCTATAATCAGGTAACTGCTATATAGTTGCAGGATAAGGTGTAAAGCCACTGAATGACTATCCAAAGGTAGCACTGGTGGTAGAGGCCCTTTCCAAGACCCCCACACAGGACCTCCAAGCTCTGATCTCTGTGAGATGGCACCAGTGAGGCCACTCTGCCTCGGTAACACACAGAAATCCCAACGGCAAACAAAAAGCCTGATGTAGTAGGGAATATCAGTGCTCTAGGCTTACCTGGTGACAGCCACTTCTATTTCAACTCTCTTCTGCCCATTTGCAGTTGGGGCAGCTCCTCTCCATGCAAGAAAGAGCACTTGACAGGGCTAGGGAAAAACACTATCATAAATTTTGACGGTATTTTCCCTTCCTGCTCACCCAAATATTTACATACTTTAAAACCCCCATAGATTTTTAACCTGTAATTAACTGTCAGTGATTATGACAGTTATTGATTTCTTTCTTATGTCAGATCAAAATTAATCCTCAGATTTACCACTGCTGATAACACCAAATGTGTGCAGGTCTCAATTCAATCAATGAAAGCACCTACTTAACTTTAGACACTTTAGATCTGAAGCAAAGCACACGTGTACAGTCCTTCATAAAATGAGCTGTTTTCCGTGTTCTGAAGCAGTTTTTTAAGTAGTGTCACTGGGTACTTGTTCCATTCCAGTGTGACACAAGACACTCTGGTTTATAAGTAACTGAAGACCACATTTAGCATCCATCTTTTATCCCATTGAACCTAAAAGCCTTCCATCTCCAGGAGTAGAGCCACAAGAAGATACTTTGGTGGTAATCCAGGCACATGTTCTTAGATGTACACTGGTTACGATATGACCCTGAACTGGCAAAAGCTTTGACATGAACTAGTTATTGTTCAAGCAAGATCCCCAAAAAACTACTAGAACCGTGTTAACTCTAGTGCCACGTTTCATTAGGCTACAAACTAAAAAAGTTGTGTTTCTTCAAAACCAGAGAAAACTCAGAGTAACACTGAACAATGAAAGAAGTTTGCTAGGGAATCTCCCTTCTATTCACTGTATCTTTCCAGCATTGGCTCTTTCTTCCAGGCCTGCTCCCATTCCAGCACCTCTAGAGCCTTTCTGTGCTGTGACAGACCACCCTAAGACCTTCTGGGACCATCAAAATAAATTTCCTAACTTCTCTGAGGTCTGCCTTCTGCCCTCCTCCAAAGTCACTCTTTCTCTAACAGTGCCATCAGCTTCCCTCTTGCCGAGACAGCAGGTTGCCCTTCACATGCATGATCCTGCCCAGAATCTGGCAAACCTCCTTCAAGGAAGGCTGCTCAAGCACTGCCAGGGAAGGAGTACTCCCATCCCATCCCATCCCATCCCATCCCATCCCATCCCATCCCATCGTCTCCACCTGCAGCAGCCAGGACAGTGTGGTGTCATCAAGCAGCTGAGATCTTTTTCTGTTATCAAAACCTTTTAAAGGAACACAACCTTCATTAGCAGATACTAAGTCTGCATACAGCAGATAACATCCACTGCACTCTTTTTACCGATGAAGATCTACAAGACCTTCAGAGAAGTTACACGACAACAGGAGAGGCATCAGCTAGTGCTACAGGGCTCACCAGTGTTGAGTGATGCTGATGGTGTTCAGCTGAGCTTGCAGATAGTTTTATCTTAACCTTATTTCGAACACTATTTGTAAACTAGTGTAAGTCAAAGATGCACAGGGAGAAAATGCACAGTCAATATGCTGAGTGGTGTGTTTTGTGTCATACACATAAAAAGCAACTTGGTAGCTCATTTGCAACATCACACACAAGGTGTTGAAGTACACCTCCCACGTGAGAAAGAAGGAACATCAGTCTCACTGGTGATCAGGCAGGTGCTGCTTCCACTGTTTGGCCAGTGGTATGTTTCCCATCAAGCTGTCCTGCTGCTTGTATTTCTGCTTATATTAAAGGTACTGTGAGAAACAGGTATTGGGGTGGAGGGGGAAACAATGCCATCTTCTCAAACCACAACAGCTTTCAGGGCCAAGGCACATCCCCAGTTCCAGGGCTGGTTGTTCTTTGCTCACCATAAGGAGGAGGACAGAGCAGGCAGGCAGCGCAGGACCACTGACAGAGAGCAGAAACTCTTGTTTACAATTGCAACCACTCTGATTGCTCTGCAAAAAGGGTGAAACAAGCTGGTTTAGTCTAGTGTTGTGGTTTGAACTCAGCTGGCAGCCAACCACCACACAGCCGGTCACTCACCCTTTTCCCCAATGGGGGAAATAGGGGAGGAACACAAAGAAAAAAACACCTTGTAGGTTGAAAAGAAAAAACTCAAACAGTTTAGTGATTGTAATGTAAAAAACAATAACCAAAAGACCAAATGGGTAACACACAATGCTCTTGCTCGCCACCTGGAGACCGACAGAACAAAGATCCCTCCACAGTGACCTGAAGCAAGACAGAACCTACCTCCTTTATATACTGAGCTTAACGTCACATGAGATGGACTACTCCAGTGGTCAATCCCAGCCGGCACTCCAGCTGTGCCTCCTCCCAGCTCAAAGAAACTCTAACTCTATCCTGGCTGAAATCAGGGCATCTAGAAAAGATGAAGCTGTTGTGTAGAAGACTTGGCCATTGTTTTGGCCTGAGAAATGGCAGAAGGGTGGCAAGAAGGAAGGAGACAATGGAGACAGCAGGGAGTGCCCAGCTTGTCACTAAGGTGTCCTGCCCTGGTTCTGGTTCATACAGGCAACAGCAATGCATTGTTCTGCTTGCCTTCTGGGGTGATGACATTACTTTCACTTTCAGGAAAATAAATCACATAATAACATAAATCACATAAGAACAATGAAGTTCTGGAAGAGGTTATAAGGGAGGTTTTGGAATTTCCTTCCCCAGAAGGAACAGATTAGACAAAGTTAAACAAACATCTCTATTTATTTGATCTTGATGCGCTGCAGACAGGAGCAGATCTTTTCTTGAGGTGCCTCTTTCTACAATTCTACTCTTTTATTTACATGTATTATGTATAATTAAGTTAACCAAATACCATGTTCTAAAATGAGAATTTTATCTTAATTTGAATGGATTTTCATCTATCCTAAATTCAGTGAAAACACTAGGCAATGCTATTTAAGAATAGAGTTTAAGGAAAAAAAGCTTCTCCTTGCTTAATTGATTTTTTTCCTAAACTGTGTTACCAAGGAT